CACCCGGCCTAGACGTCTTCCTCTGTGCCTGGCAGTGTGCCAGCCCTGGCACACAGAGCAAGACAGACATAGGCCCTGTCTTCATGGAGCTTACATTTCAATGCAGGGAGATTCCCGACAAATAAAGAGAGATTGCAAATAATGCTAAGTGCCGTAAAAGAAATAAACAGGACAGAGGCATGTGTTGTGGAGGGCAGTGGGGGCAGGTAGGCAGGTCGCTATGATGAGGTAGATGTATATTTAAGCGGAGACATGAAAAGCAAGAAACACTCAGCTGTGAAAAAGAGCTGGGTGAACGGTGCTCCAGGCCAAGGACACTGCAAGGAGAAAGGTTCCGAGGCTGGAATAAGCCTTGAGGAGCAGCATGCAGCCCAGGGGTCCCGGAGCTTAGTGGGTGCAGAGGAGGGTGGTGGGGATGAGGCTGACGGGGACGGGGGCAGATGTGAGGCCTCTAGGCCACAGGAAGGAGTGTAGTTTTAGATGATGGTTTTGAACAGGGGCTGGGCATGATCCGTGTGGTTTTGTGTAGTGGGCAAGTGTAGAAGCAGGAAACTGGTCTGGAGGCTGCGGAGGAACAAGCCGATTGGTGACTGGATGATCCCTGGCTTCCCCTCCAGTGCTGGGCTTCAAGACCTCTGATAATCCAACCTCCACAAGGCAAGTGACGCGGAAGAAAGTTCTTTCTGCCAACAAGGCCAAACCCCAATGGTAAAGCTCAAGGTGCTCCTTGACCGTTCCCTACAAATATGCCAGGCTGCAGGGGCCAGAGCTCCTCCCCAGGGAACAGCAGGGAGCCCTTGCCTGGGCCTACAAGTAACACGGGTGACATGCGCCTTTTGCCTGAAGCCTGACAGGAGGGATGACGGGGCCTGGACTATGCTGGTGGGAGTACAGATAGGAGAAGGGAAAGGAGAGGGAAAAGGGGGCATCGAGGGGCTCACCCTGGGCAACTGGGTGGCTGCTTTACTGGGTGAACCAGTAAACCACCCCCGGCTGGTTTACATAGGTACTGAAAAGAAGAAACCTGGGGCTAGAAGTTTGGAGGAACAATTTTGGGGGGAAAATCATGAGCACCACTTTGTTAAGATGTCTGAGAGAGGCTGGGCGCACTGGCTCATGCCTATAATCCTAGCACTTTGCGAGGGCAAGGCAGGTGGATCACCTAACGTCAGGAGTTCGAGACCAGGCTGGCCAACATGGCGAAACCCCGTCTCTACTAAAATACAAAAATCAGCCAGGCATGGTGGCTGATGCCTATGTTCCAAGCTACACGGGAGGCTAAGGCAGGAGAATCGCTTGAACCCGAGGGGCAGAGGTTGCAGTGAGCCAAGATCACACCATTGCACTCCAGCCTGGGCGACAGAGCAAGACTCTGCCTCAAAAAAAAAAAAAAAAAAGTGTCTGAGAGACATCCAGGTTGAAATGTAAGTGAGAGAAAGAGAGAGAGAGAGAGAGAGAGAGAGTGTCTGTGTGTGTCACTTAGCAGTCTACTGGAGATAGAAATTTTGGAGGCCTCAGCTTGCAGATGATGCTTAATGCCACAGGACTGACTGACATCACCTAGGAAACCCAGGGAAAAGAACACCTGGGCTCGCTCAGAGGATGCAAACAGAGCAGGAGCTGGTAAAGGAGCCTGAAGGAGCTACCAGGGATGGAGAAGGGGAAGCAGAAGCATGGGGTGAAGTCAAAGCCAAGAGAGGTGGCTGTGTTGGCGGGGAAGTTATCTGAGGGGCCGCTGTCTGAGCTGAGGCTTGAAATGCGCCCCTGGCATTGCGTGACTTGGAGGCAGTTGGATCCCCTACTGAGTTGGAAGGAGGGTAAGTTAGAGGGGCTTGAGTGAAGAGTAATGGACTCCGGGGTGGGGAAAATGAGCAAAACACAGCCACACACAGTGGCTACAGTTTGGATGAATCTCATGTGCATACGTATGGAGGGAAAGAAGCCAGCTGCAAAAGACCCTAGTGATCACGCATACAAAGTTCCCAAAAGGCAATATTAGTTTGTCCTGTGCATGGCTCCAAACATAAGTACGTTTACAGCCTCCAGTTTTCTATAAAGCCTAAAGATGTTAAATAAAGTTTTCTATCATTGCCCATAAGTAAAAGCACAGGTTGTACTATAAGGCGGGAGAGTGGTGCCCACTCGCTGGGTTGGGGTTGTAATTGGGAAGGTGTATGTGGAAGCTTCTAGGGACTGGCAGGGCCAATGTCTTCCTTTCTTTTACTACCTTGGCTGGCATCTAGTTTTCAAATCAACTCGATGGGGATATACATGCCATAAAATTCATCCATGTTAACTATACAGCTCAATGAGTTTTATTACTTATTATTTATTTAATTATTTAAGACAGGGTCTCACTCTATCACTCAGGCTGGAGTGCAGTGGTATGATCACAGCTCACTGCAGCCTTGACCTCCTGGGCTGAAGTGATTCTCCCACCCCAGCCTCCCAAGTAGCTGTGACCACAAGCACACACCACCATGCCCAGCTAATTTTTGTATTTTTTTGTAGAGACAGGGTTTTGCCATGTTTCCCAGTCTGGTCTTGAACTCATGGGCTCAAGTAATCCTTCCACTTGGGCTTCCCAGCATGCTGGGGCTATAGGCATGAGCCACCAGCCCTGGCCTAACTCAGTGATTTTTTGGAAATCACTGTGCAACTGTGCAACTCTCACCACCATCTGGTTTTAGAACATTCACATTGCCCCAGGAAGACCCCTCGTGCCAGATGATAACCACTCTTCATTCATCCATGCCAGTCCCAGCAACCACACATCTGCTTTCTGTGTCTACAGATCTGTCTTTCCTGGACATTTTATATAAATGGGTCATAGAGTATGTGGATTTTCACATCTGGCCTCAGCATAATGTTTTCGAGGTTCATCCACCTCATAGCATGTATTCTTTTCATTGCCCGGGAGTATTACGGGGGATAGACACATCACAGTTTATCCACTCATCAGTGGACACGGGTTGTTTCCACTGTTTGGCTGTACATCATGTTGCTATGAACATTCGTGTGCAAGTCTTTGTGTAGACATATACTTTCTTTCTTTCTTTTTTTTTTTTTCTTTTGAGACGGAGTCTTGCTCTTGTTGCCCAGACTGGAGTGCAGTAGTGTGATCCTGGCTCACTACAACCTCCGCCTTCTAGGTTCCAGTGATTCTCCTGCCTCAGCCTCCCTAGTAGCTGGGATTACAGGCTTGCACCACCATGCCCGGCTAATTTTTGCATTTTTAGTAGAGACTGGGTTTCACTATGTTGGCCAGGCTGGTCTCAAACTCTCAACCTCATGATCCACCTGCCTCAGCCTCCCAAAATGCTGGGATTACAGGCGTGAGCCACTGTGCCTCACAACATACTTTTATTTCTCTTGGGAAGACTCCTGGAGTAGAATCTTCCATATGACCCAATCATATGGCACAATTCTGCTTTGTTTTTTAAGAAACTACTAAGCTGGCCGGGCGCGGTGGCTCAAGCCTGTAATCCCAGCACTTTGGGAGGCCGAGGCGGGTGGATCATGAGGTCGAGAGATCGAGACCATCCTGGTCAACATAGTGAAACCCCGTCTCTACTAAAAATACTAAAAAAAAATTAGCTGGGCATGGTGGCGCGTGCCTGTAATCCCACCCACTCAGGAGGCTGAGGCAGGAGAATTGCCTGAACCCAGAAGGCGGAGGTTGCGGTGAGCCGAGATCGCGCCATCGCACTCCAGCCTGGGTAACAAGAGGGAAACTCTGTCTCAAAAAAAAAAAAAAAAAAAAAATAGTACTCCATGTCTTGACCAGGTTGGGTGGTAGTTTCATGGGGTCTCATTTTGTAAATTATTAATTATATTATATATTTATGCACTGTCTGTATTTCTTCTATTTTACAACTTTAAAAGAGTCAAGAAATGGCCTGGTGTGGTGGCTCATGCCTGTAATCCCAGCACTTTGGGAGGCTCAGGCGGGAGGATCACAAGGTCAGGAGTTCAAGACCAGCATGGTCAACATGCTGAAACCCCATCTCTACTAAAAATACAAAAATTAGCCAGGTGTGGTGGCATGTGCCTGTAATCCCAGTTACTCAGGAGGCTGAGGCAGGAGAATTGCTTGAACCCAGGAGGTGGAGGTTGTGCCACTGCACTGCAGCCTGGGTGACAAAGCAAGACTTTGTCTCAAAAAAAAAAAAAAAAAGTCAAGAAACAAGTTGTGGGCGGTGGGTGGTGAGTGGAGTCAACTCGGGAAAGGTTTTCTATAAGGGGCAGCACTTTGGGATGCTGTTCTGGGAGCACTGGAGGAGGAGCAACCGGGAAAAGAAATCCTACAGGAATCTCACAGGACGGGCTCCAAGACCCTGCCTGATTTGCAGGTATATGCAGGTATATGCAAATAAGTGAGGCTCTCCTAAGTTTTCCTCACCTTGGGGTGTCTGTCTCTAATGGTTGTGACTAGGATGGTGGGCAGGCATCAGGTGTGCTGGGTTCGGGTACTCACAGCCTGCCTTTCCTGGGAGTGGGGAGCCTGCTGTTCTGCAGGGGCTGAGGGTGGAGTATCATCCGCTAATCCCTGGCCTGCTGAGGCCACCACTCTCCCTGATCCCCTCACGCTTACCCTGGATACTGGCCACAGCTAATCTCCACCCCTACAGACTCAAGGGCTGGCAGACAGTGCAGTGCCCTCTTCCCTGAGGTTTGCAGGGAGGGGAGATCCCTCTCGGCATCCAGATCCTCCTAATGGCAGGCCCTAGAGTCCCTGCCTAACGCAGAGGAGAGCCTCGAGGCCCAGAGAGGTGTGGTAACTAGCCCAGGATCACACAGCCTGCAGTGGACTCAGTAGCCATTTCTGGCCTGCCTTGGCCTGACCACCTCCAGAGAACTCCTGCTCCCTGTCTGACATTTCCGAAGATGCCTGGCCTGTGGTGAGGCCTGGGAGATCACAGCCTTCAGGAAGTCTAGAAGGGAGTGGCCAGAGCACAGAAATTCTGGCACAGGCTCTTCTTAGAGCCTGCAGTTGCCGGGGTTGCTAAGGAGTGGGTGCTCAGAACTAGGCTGCAATGGGCATTGTGTGTGCACAATATTCCTTTATTCTGCTGCTGTCCATAATAAGGGACCCGCCCGCCTCACTTCCTCTTCTGCCCATTGAGCAGTCGAAGAGCTGAAAGTCCTTATAAGCCTGTGCACCTGGGCCTGAGCCCTACAGATAAGGTAGCTGCTATTGGTGAGTCAGAAGCAGGGAGCCCCCATCCGCCTCTTCCCTGTCTCAGTGAGCCCCCTCCTTTTCCCTCTCCAGGCAGTCCCATCCCCTAAGGCAGCTTCCCTTTGCCTTGTCACCATGCCCCTTCCCTGCTCCTCCATGACCTAAGGTCCTCTCTCTTCCTGCCACCCTTGCTCCCACCTCTACCTCTCACCTCTAACTTAGGGTCAGGAAGCAAGCAAGCTGCCTCGAGAAATTCTCACTAAAGTGTAAATAACTGAAAGGGTCCTGGGCCTATCTGCTTTTTAAAGGGAGGCACTGGGTACCCAGTAATGCTTTTCTAGTTCAAATATATCATGTTACTCCCCTTCCTGAAAATCTTTCTGAGTCAATATGTAGAATTTTGGGCAAATACCTTAGCTAAGGCAAGTCCATAATTATTCACCCAGAAGCATATGGCATAGAGAGCTACATTTTGAACCCACTTGCTTCTGCCCTTTCCCACTCATTATTTAAGAATAGACTCTCCAGGCGTGGTGGCTCACACCTGTAATCCCAGCACTTTGAGAGGCTGAGGCTGGTGGATCACTTGAGGTCAGGAGTTCAAGACCAGCCTGGCCAACATGGTGAAACCCTGTTTCTACTAAAAATACGAAAACTAGCTGGGTGTGGTGGTGGGTGACCGAAATCCCAATTCCTCGGGAGGCTGAGTCAGGAGAATCACTTCAACCTGGGAGGCGGAGGTTGCATTGTGCTAAGATTACACCACTGCACATCAACCTAAGCAAGAGAGTGAGACTCTGTCTCAAAAAAAAAAAAAAAAAGAATAGACTAAAATACCACCTCTTTTAGACCATTTCTTGAATGCCCCAACCCCAGCCTCCCCAGAAAAACACAAACGCTCTGTACTGACCTCCCTCATAGCCATGGCACAACGTGTGTGTGTGTGTGTGTGTGTGTGTGTGTGTGTGTGCGCATGTGTGTGTGTGTGTGTGTGTGTGTGTGTGTGTGTTGGGAGGGCAGTGGGAGGGTTGTCTCTATTGTCTTCTGTTATCTGAATGTTCCTGCAACCCCATTATGAGCTTCTGAAAAACGGCTTGGCACAAAGTCGGTGCTAAATAAATGTTTCGCAAGTAGACATTGCCATTGGCCAAAGTTGTGTTTCTGTAGAGAAGGGTGTCTGGCCAGCATGAGCCAGGGAGAGCTCCTTAGAACCCTCTGCCCCCCAGCTATGGCCCGCATCATCGACCTGGTGCCCTGGGACGATGGCTCCACTCATGTGTATGCCTCCCCGGCCATCCTGCTTCCTGTGGAGCGGCAGCGCAACCAGCTGGCGGGCGTGAAGCAGCAGCTCTACCACCCGGCCCTGCCCACCCTGCGCCACATGGACAGGGACACTGTCAAGGCTTGCCTTCCTGATGAGCACTGCCAGTCCACCACCTACTGCCGCAAAGGTCAGGCCGCTGGTGCAGGATCCCCTCTGGGAAAGGGGTAGGTGGTCTCAAGAAAGAAGGTGACATGCAAGGATGAAAGAGGCCAGTCCCAGCGCTTCTGCTCCCTGCCCATGACACTTTGGCCAGGTCTGAGCCTCTGTTTACTGCTCAGTAAAATGAGGAGAATGACAGGACGTGCCTTGAAGGGTTGTTGTGGGGTTAGGAGATAGAGTGCAAAAAGCACTTAGAGGCCAGGCACAGAGGCTCACGCCTCTAAGCCCAGCACTTTGGGAGGCTGAGGCCGGCAGATCACCTGAGGTCAGGAGTTCAAGAACAGCCTGGCCAACATGGTGAAACCCCGTCTCTACTAAAGATACAAAAATTAGCGGGGTGTCATGGCAGGTACCTGTAATCCCAGCTACTCAGGAGGTTGAGGCAGAAGAATTACTTGAACCCAGGAGGTGGAGGCTGCCATGAGCCGAGATTGCGCCATTGCACTCCAGCCTGGCAACAGAATGAGAGAATGAGACTCCATCTCAAAAAAAAAAAAAAAAAAGGAGTGCCTGCCACATAATATCTGCTCAAAAAATGTTGCTGATGCCATTATTGTTATTGTTGTTTTGTTTTGCTTTTGTTTTGGGGAGACAGTGTCTTACTCTGTTGCCCAGGCTGGAGTGCAGTGGCATGATCATGGCTCACTGCAGCCTTGATCTCCCAGGCTCAAATGATCCTCCCACCTTAGCCTGCCAAGTAACTGGAACCACAGGCACATGCCACCATGCCCACCTAATTGGCTCAAGCCTGTAATCCCAGCACTTTGGGAGGCCGAGACGGGTGGATCACGAGGTCAAGAGATCGAGACCATCCTGGTCAACATGGTGAAACCCCGTCTCTACTAAAAATACAAAAAAAAAAAAAAAAATTAGCTGGGCGTGGTGGCGCGTGCCTGTAATCCCAGCTACTCAGGAGGCTGAGGCAGGAGAATTGCCGGAACCCAGGAGGCGGAGGTTGCGGTGAGCCGGGATCGCGCCATTGCACTCCAGTCTGGGTAACAAGAGTGAAACTCCGTCTCAAAAAAAAAAAAAAAAAAAACAGAAATTATTTGTAGAGACAGAGTCTCCCTACTTGCCCAACCTGGTCTCAAACTCCTGGGCTCAAACGATCCTCCTGCCTTGGCCTCCCAAAGTGCTAAGATTATAGGCGTGAGCTGCTGTGCCTAGTCTGCTGTAATGAATGGGGAGAGAACTGAGCAGAGGTTGGTAGGTGCAGTGGTAGGAGTCACAGCAATAACAACTTTTCCCCAAGCCTCTCTGTATGTGGAAAAGAGAGAAGACCCCTCCTCACAGCCCACCTGCAGGAGAGGAGGACATGTGGGCCTTCAGGGTAAAAGACCCCCACAGGCCTAGTGAATAACCCCACATGGACTGCGGAGCTTGTGTATGGAGGGATTTAGAAGGTATTTAGCAGATCAAGTGAACAGGAGAAGGTACAGGCAGGGCAAGGTAGGAGGCGGAAGAGGGAGAGTGCAGGCCCATACCTAGGCTCCAGCTTCGGTGGCAGGCAGGCTGAGGATGTCAGAGACCACATGGAGATCACCAGAGTTGCTATACGGGCCCTGATGGGAAACGCAAATGAGGGAAGTGGGTGGGGAGGCCATGGGAAGGGAGAGTCCACAGGGAAATGGGGCACCCACACCTGCCCTGTTTAAATGGCAGCTTCGAGGCTCCCCACAGACTGTGCTATGTTGGAGGGGCCAGCCAGGTCACCAGTTCTTCCAATTTCCTGCTTCCAAGAGAAGCCAGGAATCTAGATTTTTAAAGGAAGCTCTGAGGTAGATGTGTATTTTATTGTAAGCATATGCTTTAAATAAAAGTAATAGTCACAACTTCAAAACTCAAAATGCTGTAACGATATGCACAGCAGCAAGTCTCGCTCCCACTGCCCCCCTTACAGGTAATCCCCCACCATTCTTAGTGTCTGACTTACTAACGGGAATACAAACACATATTATTTTGTTCCCTAACTTTTTATTACTGTTAACTGAAAAACCAGAAATTTATAAATTTAGGCAGGGCATAGTGGCTCACACCTGTAATCCCAGCATTTTAGGAGGCCAAGGCAGGCAGATCATTTGAGGTCAGGAGTTCGAGAACAGCCTGGCCAACATGGTGAAACCCCCGTCTTTACTAAAAATACAAAAATTAACCGGGTGGGGTAGCAGGTGCCTGTAATCCCAGCTACTTGGAAGGCTGAGGCAGGAGAGTTGCTTGTACCCAGCAGGTGGAGGTTATAGTGAACCAAGATCGGGCTTAACCCTTGCCTGGCATGGTCTCAGGTCTTGTTAATAATTTGGTACCTTATTGCCACAAGGAGTCTGTTCTCTTAGTCTTGTGACCTCTCTCTCCTCTTTTTTTTTCTTTTTCTTTCCTTTTTTTTTTTTTTTTTGAGACAGAGTTTCGCTCTTGTTACCCAGGCTGGAATGCAATGGCACGATCTCGGCTCACCACAACCTCTGCCTCCTGGGTTCAGGCAATTCTCCTGCCTCAGCCTCCCGAGTAGCTGGGATTACAGGCACGTGCCACCATGCCCAGCTAATTTTTTGTATTTTTAGTAGAGACGGGGTTTCACTATGTTGACTGGGATGGTCTCGATCTCTCGACCTCGTGATCCACCCGCCTCGGCCTCCCAAAGTGCTGGGATTACAGGCTTGAGCCACCGCGCCCGGCCTTTTTTTTCTTTTGAGACAGAGTCTCACTCTGGTGCCCAGGCTGGAGTACAATGGCATGACCTTGGCTCACTGTAACAGGAATTTGCTCTGTCACCCAGGTGGAAGTGCAGTGGTATGATCACTGAAGCCTCAACCTCCTGGACTCAAGTGAGCCTCCTGCCTCAGCTTCCCAGGTAGCTGGGGTTACAGGTACATGCCACCAGGCCTGGCTAATTTTTGTACTTTCAATAGAGACAGAGTTTCATTATGTTGGTCAGGCTGGTCTCGAACTCCTGACCTCAAATGATCCACCCGCCTCTGCCTCCCAAAGTGCTGGGATTACAGGCGTTGAGCCATCGTGCCCGGCCTCAAAAAATTTTTAAAAGTACAATGGGGGCCAAAGTTCTCCTATGACCTCTGACCACTGGTGAAGGAGATACTTCTCCCTTTCTCCTGTTTCAACAGATGAGTTTGACAACGCCCATTTTACCCTCCTTGGGATCCCCAACAAACCCCTGCAGTGCTTGGTGAGTGTCCTTTGTCCTACCCCTGGGTTTGCTAAGGGACACCAGCCTCAAGCACCTCTGGTCCTGGGATCTACTCTCCGAGCACCGCCTCAGGTGCCTGCTTGGGACTCACCTCCCCACATGACCCCATCCGGGTTCTTGACTTCGGGTGCCCCCTCTGTCAGATGCCCCAGTCCAGTTGTCAGCTTAGGTCTTTGGGGTGGACTGGGATGGCTGCCTTGGGTTCCTGCAGCTACGGCCGAGTGGCCCTGACCCCCCGTGGACCTGGCAGGACATCACCGCAACAGGCCAGAAGCTCCGCCACAGGTACCAGGAGGGAAAGCTGGCACCCATCGCGCCGGGCATCAACCGAGTGGACTGGCCCTGCTTCACGCGCGCCATAGAGGACTGGTCCCGCTTCGTGTCCTCGGCCCGGGAGTTCAAGCTGCCCTGCCTGAGCAAAAGAGGTCAGTCTACGGGCGGCTGAAGGAACTGCCCGGCAGGTGGGCCGCGGGGCTGGACAGGGAGCCTAGACTGCTGGCAGGAGCGTGGGGGGCGGGAGGGCCAGAAGAGACAGGGCGGGGCCGCTGGGGTGCAGCGGTGGCACTTGCGGCGGGTAGGTCTAAGTCGTGCGCGCGGACCTGGAGGCGGGGCTTCCCGTGGGGACCGGGCCAGGCGGAGCAGTCATGGCGGAGACCGCCCAGGCGGGGTAGCGGAGGCGGGGCCTGTTCTCCGAACACGTGTGGGCGGGGCCTGACTTGGGCGGGGCGTATGTGAGGGGCGGGGCTTTCCTGGGGCGGTCCTAGGGAGGGCGGGGCGCTCGAGAGAGGCTCTCTGTCCGCAGTGGAGGGTTTCAGCGGCTACGCGGTGCGATACTTGAAGCCGGACGTGACCCAGAGCTGGCGGGTAGGGAGCGCGGGGCGCAGACCCGTCCCTGGGGGAGTTCTGGTGGGGAGCGGCGTCAACCGGGAGTTGAGGACGGAGGAGACCCAGAGCAGGGCCTCTCAGTCTTGAGGGCCACGGTCTCAAGCAGGGAGCACTGTGTGGGGCGTGGCAGGGCGTCCGTGCTCCCCCGACTCACTCCCCTGCTGCCCGCCGCAGTACTGCCTCAACCAGAACCCCAGCCTGGACCGCTACGGACAGAAGCCCCTGCCTTTCGACTCCCTGTAAGTGACGCCACGCACCCCGAGACCCATATCCGGAGGAGGGAGGATGGGGTCTGGGCCGCTTTTCTAGCGCACATGCAGTGCCTCTTGAAAACGTGAGAACTGGGAAAATTAATTGATTGGCTGTAACATACTACAAACAAATTGCAATTTCAAAATGAATACATGTGTAATTCCTACTACACAGAGCATCTTGCTATCCCTGGCAACTCCACCCTTGCGGAGTGGAGGCATTTGGATTGGGTGAAGGCGCTCTGGAACCCTTCAGGAGGGATGGCGGGGAGAGCGGGTAGCTCCCGAGGTGCGAGTGAGGCTCCCAGAGAGGGTCGTCCCCCACCCTCGGGCTCACCCGCCCCGTTCTTTCCCAGGAACACTTTCCGAAGCTTCGGCTCCAGCTACAGGTAGGGGAACTGGCCCTGTCCCGCCCCGCAGACGACCACTTTCCCATCCGACCGCTGCAGAGGGGGCAGCCTCGGGGCTCCCCGACTCTGAGACTCCCCTGCCCCAGCAAGGCCTGGCGTGGAGGAGGTGCCCTCCTAGGAGGGTGCGAGCTGCTTCCCTCTGGAGAGATCCGCCCCTGGCAAATATGCAGCCCACTGGGGTGGGGGTAGGTGCGGGAGGGTGTCCATTTCACCACGTTTGACCGGAGGAGGCCAAAAGGATGAGGCAGGGATGTTACATGAAGGAGAGAAAACAGACAGAAAAGAAACGCCAGGGAGAGAGGCCAGAATCTGCCTTCTAGGGTGCTGAGAGGCTCTAATGGAGGGGGCCAAGTGGTGTTCCCAGCAGGGTCGCCCCACGAGTAAAAGCTTGGAGATAAGAACAAGAATGGAGGTTGCAAGATATTCAAACGTTTTCATAACTGAATCATGTCTCACCTTCCCAGCCCCACTTTGTACACTCCAGCAAGACTAGACTCCACCGAAACCTAGCAGACCACCAAGCACTCCTCACACCTTTGCCTGTGCAGTTTTATCGACTAGATGGCCCTTCCTCCTCTGCCTGCAAAACTCCTTCGTGGTTTTTTTGTTGTTGTTTTGGTTTGTTTTGTTTTTTTGAGACGGAGTCTCGCTCTGTCGCCCAGGCTGGAGTGCAATGGTTCGTGGGATCTTGGCTCCCTGCAACCTCTGCCTCCCAGGTTCAAGCGATTCTCCTGCCTCAGCTTCCTGAGCAGCTGGGATTACAGGCATGCGCCTCCACGCTCAGCTAATTTTTGTATTTTTAGTAGATACAGGGATTCATCATGTTGGTCAGGCTGGTCTCGAACTCCTGACCTTGTGATCCCCCTGCCTCGGCCTCCCAAAGTGCTGGGATTACTGCACCCGGCCTCCTTTGTGCTCTTTAAAGCCCAGCACAGATGTGCTATCCTCCTTGAAGTCTTCCTGTCCCTCTGCCTCTCCCCACCGGCTCACATTCCCTCCCACTGGTCACCTACCTGTGTGTCCCCATCTTATAGCACCCAGACTATTGCACGGTCATTATTAACAGAAACTAGACTTCCCCTCTCCCACAGCGGGGAGGGGGAACGTTTCTGGGGTTTGCTACCATATGATGCCTAACAGAGTAGGTTCACTAAATGATTGAGAAATGGGTGAAGCTGTTCATAGTTAGGAATCAGTGGGAGAGAGGGATGAGGCAAACTCAAAGGAGGGGCGTTAGCTTGAAAGCTAAGGAGGACAGCTGAAAATGCAGAAAACAGGGAGCCATTGAAGGCTTCCTGAGCCACATAGAGGCTGGCTGGAAGCTGTGTTTTCAGAGCCTAGAGGAGGAAAGCCTGGTTTTTCCCCCAGGATACCCTGGAAGACCCCACCTCACCCCTACTTCTCTTCACAGTCGTGTCAACTACCTGACCCCCTGGCATTAATTTCTGGAAAGGAGGCTGCCAGACTATGCCATCTCAGGTCCCTTGGCCGGACCAAGGACTTATGGTGGCACCAGCCATCTCACCAGTAATTCAGCCTAACTAGAAATAAACGTAATGCTCCCTTAGAGAGACACACAATTGTGTGTGTGCGTGTGTATATGTGTTGCAGAGACTGGGAGGGGGTCAGGACCATAGGATGACAGTATCTTACCCTTAGCTGCCCTGTGCCAACTTCTGGAGGACGGGGGGGGGTGGTGCTGGAGAAAAATGTTTGGTGACCCTGGAGATTCAGGGTGTAAGCCCCAAGGTCTAGCCAGAATTGAGGTGTAAGAGCAAGAGATGTGTTCCTGCCCCCATGCCTGCAGCCCCACACCCAAGCCCCTTCCACTTCAGATCCTGTATTTGAGCCCTAAGGAGAGAGGGAGGGGGCTAGAAAGCTATTTTTAGGTGCCTTTTTGAAGCTCTTGTCATACTGGTGTGCACTGGGAGGGCCTTTCCTATGCCTAGGGTCCCTCTGAAGGTGTCGGGGCAGGCTGGAGCAAGGGGAGCTGGCCTGGCCTATGGCCTTGATTCCTGTGAAGCAACAAAACGTAGAACTTAAGTTTGCATGAGATGCTATGAGGTCACTCAGAGAAGAAAGTTCTCTGCTCCCCAAAGCATGACCAATAAACATATCATCTAAGCAAAAAGTCTTCTACTCTATTCATTAAGCTTCAGGGCTAGCCCTCGTCTGCCTACCAACCGTCCATTCCAAGCCACTCCTATGAAAGGAAGGCATGATGTCCTAGGGACAATGTGGGGACTCCTGGTCCAGGTCTGGAATAACCCCATCCGGGGGGCTAAGGAAGAGCATCTCCAGCATGGTAAGGGAGTGTATTAGTCTGTTTTCATGCTGCTGATAAAGATATATAGTACTCGAGACTGCGAAGAGAAAGAGGTTTAATGGACTCAGTTCCACATGGCTGGGGAGGCCTCATAATCATGGTGGAAGGCAAAAGGCACTACTTACATGGCGGCAGCAGGAAAGAATGAGAGCCAACCTAAAGAGATCCCCCTTATAAAACCATCGGATCTCGTGAGACTTATTCACTACCTCGAGAACAGTATGGGGGACGCACCCCTGTGATTCAATTATCTTCCACTGGCTGCCTCCCACAACCCGAGGGAATTGTGGGAGCTACAATTCAAGATGAGATTTGGGCGGGGGCACAGGCAAACCGTATCAGGGTAGAGGGCTTCTAGCATCTGTGCTTAGCTCCAGGACCTTCCAGATACCCTATTCCCACCCACTGTGGGCAGCTGGCAAGCATGCACCCAGATCGGGGTAAATAGCTACCAAGCTAAAAATCTACATGTATAGGACTAAAGCACCTTGCCATCCCTGGCCACTTCACCCTCAGGTCCTGTAATCTGAAGCTTCGGGGACCCACAGTCCTCCTGAAATCATGTGTCCACCTTGGGACCGCACTTGGGAAGCCACTGGCAGAGCCCCCTGGAGTGTCAGAGCCACATTCTGTGCCACCCAGTGTCCCCTCCAAATGACAACTCAGAGAAGAGCTGGACTTGCCCAGGGCTCACAGCAGGGATGCTAGGGTCCTGGCCTGGGAGAGGTGGGACAGCCAGAGAACTCCAGCTGACATGCTGAAGCCTGCAAGATGGAATCAAGTGGCAGGGGTGTTTTTCCTGGCCCTGCTTCCTTCTATAACTGGGCAAGTCCCTGCCAGAATACAGCCCAGCAAACACTAAAGGCCCTTTGCTAGGGTGCTGGGAGGACACAGACAAGATGCCCTCCCTGCCTTCCCTGCCTGTGAAGTGCTTCCAGTCCAGCAGGTCCAGCCAACGCGAACCAGAAAGTAGAGGTGATAACATGAGTACACACCTAGACCACGTTCCTCCAGCCCAAGACACCATGAATGGCAACCCACACCAGCAATTTAATTAAACTTCAAAAAAGTGTGCCTAAGAATAAAGGAAATGTGGAGTAGCTAAGGATAAATAAGTCTGCTTTCACGTGCAATTTCTATTTTTAAGTGGAGGGCAATGCATTAAACACCTTGCAGACCCCACGAGATGGGTAACTTTAGATCCACTTTACAGATGATGAAATAGACTCACAAAGGTTAAATGGCTAGCCCAGGATCTGGTGATTGTCAGAGCGGAGAATTGAAATCAGCCTGCCTGAACCCCCCAGCCCCAGCCCCTGCCTGTGGCCACTAGGCTGAACCACCTTCCTACTATGGGATAGATGCAAATCAGGGATAGATGCAAATCAAGAATGGGGCTTCCTGGGGGTAGGGGCATCTGACTAGGGCTTAGAGGGGGATAGGATATCCCACCAAAAAGTTCTCTTGGGGCCAGGCAAGGTGGCTTACACCTGTAATCCCAGCACTTTGGGAGGCCAAGGCGGGTGGACCACCTGATGCCAGGAGTTCGAGACCAGCCTGGCCAACATGGCAAAAACCATCTCTACTAAAACTACAAAAATTATCTAGATGTGGTGGTACATACCTGTAATCCCAGCTACTCTGGAGGCTGAGGCAGGAGAATCACTTGAACCCAGGAGGCTGAGATTGCAGCGAGCCAAGATAGGCCACTATACTCCAGCCTGGGCAAAGAGCCAGACTCCATCTAAAAACCAACCAACCAACCCAGAAAGCTCTCTGGGAGTTGTGGGCAGTGGCAGAATCTGCATGCCGAGAATCCCACCTGGAGGCCAAAGGCTAGAGCCTGAGAGATGGAAAGCAGCCCATCCCCACCCAGGCGGGGCCACTGACTCCCAGCATGGTGACACCTCCTCTCAGCATCCAAGGGCTCTTTGCTCATCATAAATAAATCACGTCAGAAACGTTCCCTGCAGCCATGGCTTTGGGGACAGTCCAGCCTCCATGGCCTTGCCTCTAGGCTTTCCAGGGCCTGACCCCAATCCACTACCATGACCCTTTATCCCAACACGAACCCGCCTACCATCTCCTTGCGGTTCCAGAGCGTCTGGGCTTCTGTCTGTCTGCCTCCAAGCAGTGTTCAAAGCCTTCCTTTCACCAGAAATGCCTTCCCCCACCTCTTCCCACCCAAATCCCACCCTGTGTTTCAGGCAGGTTGCTCTCAAGTCCTCCCTTCTCCTCTCAACTCTTCTCCCAAATCACAAGGACAAAGACTGTGGCTGTCTTCGAGAGCTAACTTATGCCCTCTGGCCCCCATGGGCTCACTCCCTGGCTCCTCTTATTTATTTATTTATTTATTTAATTTTTTTTTTTTTTTGAGACAGAGTCTTGCGCTTGTCACACAAGCTGGAGTTCAATGGTATGATATTGGCTCACTGCAACCTCCACCTCCTGGGTTCAACTGATTCTCTTGCCTCAGGATCCTGAGTAGCTGGGATTACAGCGCCCACCACTACACCTGGCTGATTTTTATATTTTTAGTAAAGACGGGGTTTTGCCATGTTGGCCAGGCTGGTCTCGAACTCCAGATCTCATGACTGCCCACCTCAGCCTCCCAAAGTCCTGGGATTACAGGTGTGAGCCACCACGCCTGGCCTGGCTCCTCTTATTCTAACTGGACCTCCTCTTATTCTAACTGGACCTCAGGAATGGGGCCTGTGGTCTCTTTGAGAACCAACACACCAATCAGGACCAAATTCACTACTACAAAGTTAGAGTGGTGTCAATTACAAAGTCACCTGCAAAATGATGTTCTAACCCAGGGCCTGGGGCTAGGCAATGGGGGAGGTGGGGGCACAGGGTGAGGGTCCAAGCTGCGGGCATGGGTTGGGGTAGGGGTCAGAGAGGACTCTTGCACATCATATTTTGTACCAGATATCAGCAGTTCTGACATTTTTTGGCCATACCTTTTGATACACAAAATCTCAAAACCTCATCTGAAGTTTGTACCTTGTGCCCTGAAGCACCTGCTCAGCGCCTGGCAAACAGTAAGTGCTCAGTAATGCTTGTGGATGAATGATGCAGGAAGGCAGACCCAGGATGGGGAGGAGAGACACATAGTAAAGAGGGAGCCCTCCCCTTTCCTCCAGTTCATGGCCCTGAGGAAGACAGTGTATTCTGGCTGGAATCTTTGTAGACGAGAAAACCAGTAGTGGCCAAGGCTTTTCTAGGACATACCACCTTCAAGGAATGAAGAAACCACCTACTTGAGGATGGGATGTGGAGCTCATAGGACAGCCTGACCCTCCTACGTTGGAGGCTTGGGGGCCTAGGGCCTCTGTGGTGCTGCTTCTGTACATCTGGGAAGATGGAGCGCAGGGGCTTTGATTCTTCGAGGAGTTGAGAGGGGTGAGAGGGGTTGGCCACACCATCGGCCTGCTGCTGAAGAGCTTTCCTGCTGCCCTGGCCAGCCCTGGACGGGTCCTGGCCACTGTTGCCAGCTTCCTGGCCAGCAAAGAGTGAGGAGGAGCCCTGCATGGCTCAGACCCCACTGCCTCCCCCTCACCTGTGTGCAGGTAACAGGCTCACCTGGCCAATCCCCACAATTCCAGGCCACTTTCTTTTTTCTTTCTTTTTTGAGACTGAGTCTCTCTCTGTCACACAGGCTGACGTACAGTGGCGTGATCTTGGCTCACTGCAACCTCCGCCTCCCAGATTCAAGCGAATTCTTCTGCCTCAGCCTCCCAAGTAGTTGGGAGTATAGGCGCATACCACCAGGCCCAGCTAGGTTTTGTACTTTTAGTAGAGACGGGGTTTCACCATGTTGGCCAGGCTGATCTCAATCTCTTGACCTTGTGATTTGCCCACCTCGGCTTCCCAAAGTGCTGAGATTACAGGGGTGAGCCACTGCACCTGGCAATTCCAGGCCACTTTCATCACTGTGTGGCTGTGAACCACCCCTGGACCTCTTAAACATCTGCCCTGCTCCCGTATAATTATGGAGTGAGGCTCAGACCTGCTGGTGGATGGGAAAAGGCTTCTGAACAGTGCCTGGCAGGGTGGTGGGAGGGCTGACTCTCAGGTGGGAGGGCTGGGCTGGCTCCCTCTTGCCTCACTTCCCAATGCCACAGTCCTTCTTGGCACCTACTACATGCCAAACATGTCACACAGATCATTCCACTGTGCCCTTACCCTAAACCTCAGAAGGGAGCATTATTGACTCCATTTCACAAATGAGGACATTGAGGCTCAGAGAGCTTCAACAGCCTGCCCAAAGCCCTGGAACCAATGAGTGGAGAGGCAGGACTGTAGCCAGGACTGCGTGTGGTGCTCTGAACCAGAACACTACACTCAGGCTACTGTGGTTTATGAGCACAGGTTCCACCCCCAGAAAGCAGCATCCTCTCCCCCATCCCCTGCAGGGCCAAGCACAGAGCAGAGCCAGCTGCATGGTGGGAGTTTGGAAAAGCTGTCAGGATGATGGGCTTCCTAGGAACATCCCCTTTGGTGGCCCAGCCTGCCCTGGTACCAACTTCTAGGACCCAGGAGAATGGCCCCCTCCCCTTCTCTCCCCTGGTGTCTCTTTCACTAGCAGCAGGGAGTAACTAACTCCCAAAGGGGAGGCTGTGTTAGTCTCTCCCTCCTCCTTCCTTCTTCCTCCCAGCCCTGGCCCTCATCCAGATGTCACTCTCACCCTAAAGCACCACACTTCCCATCCTCTCAGTGGTTGGGGCAAAAGGAATGATTAGTCAGAGACTGAAGATATAGCACTAGTTTATACTCCCAGTCACAACATCTGAAGCTCCCCT